ACTTCCTAACAACTCTGTGACTGAAGAAATACTTCCTAACATCCCTCTGACTCATCTGAGTCTTAGACTTCCAATTGTGACCCCTTGTTTCTGTGTCTCATCTCTGGAACATCCTGTCTCTATCCACTTTATATATTCCACTCAGTATTTTGTATGTCGTTATCATGTCCCCCCTATCTCTCCTGTCCTCCAGTGTCGTCAGGTTGATTTCCCTTAACCTCTCCTTGTAGGACATACCCCTTAGCTCCAAGACTAGTCTTGTTGCAAACCTTTGCACTTTCTAATTATTTAACCTGTTTGACCAGGTGTGGGTTCCATACTGGTGCTGCATACTCCAGTATGGGTGTATAATGTCCTGAATGACTCCTTGCGTAGATGTCGAAATGCTATTACTAGGTTTGCCAGGCACCCATAAACTGTTGCAGTTATTTGGTTGATGTGCACCTCAGGAGATGTGTTCGGTGAGATGCTCACCCCAAGATCATTTTCCTTGAGTGAGGTTTGTAGTCTCTGAGCCGGTACGCCGTCTGCAATCTTGTTTGATTATCCCAAAGCTTCATGACTTTGCAAGAGCCAGTTGCTAGACAAGGCTTGCAGCCTGTCCATGTCCCCTTGTACTTTTAAGTGATTCTCGTCTGCTCTTGTTCTTATTATTTTCACATCATCTGTAAACAGGAACACCTCTGAATCTATCCCTTCTGTTGTGTCGTTCATATATGCCGGAAACAGCACTGGCCATAGAACTGATCCTTGTGGAACCCCACTCGTCACAATCACCCACTCTGATACTTTGTCATGTATCATCACTAGTTGTTTCCTTCCTGTCAGGTATTCTCTTATCCATTGTAGTGTCAGTCTTGTTATTCCTGCCTCATACTCAAGTTTTTATACCAGTCTCCTGTGTGGTACCGGACTAACAGCCTTCTTACAGTCCAAGAAGATACAGTCTTCCCACCTCTCTCTCTCTCTGTCTCTCTCTCTCTCTCTCTCTCTCTCTCTCTCTCTCTCTCTCTCTCTCTCTCTCTCCCTCCTGTCTTACTTCTGTTACCTTGTCATAGAACTCCAGTAGGTTTGTGATGCAGGATTTCCCATTCTTGAAACTGTGCTGGGTGTCATGTATGAGCCCGTTCTTTTCTAGGTGTCCCACCACTCTTCTCCTGATGATCTTCTCCATAGCTTTACATACTATACGTGTCTGTGTCAGTGATCTGTAGTTTAATGCTGCCTGTCTGCCTACATTCTTAAAAATTGGGACTAGATTTGTTGAAGATTATTGTTAGTGGTACACACAATGCCTCTGCTCTCTCTCACTCAGGACCCAAGGAGAGATGTTATCTGGGCCCACCGCTTTCACATAGTAGTTTCTTCACCTCGTCCTCGACTGTGTGTAGTATGTCCAACACTTGCTGGTTTACCATATCAGTTTGTTGGAAACTTCTCTGTCTCCACTGTGAATACCTCCCCTAAATCTTATGCTGAGCTCCTCACATACTTCCTGGTCATTCCCTGTGAGCTCTCCTCCTTTCTTCCTCAGCCTGATTACCTAGTCCTTGACTGTTGTTTTTATTTTGATGTGGCTGTATAACAACTCTGGGTCAGATTTGGCTTTTGATGCTAAGTCATTCTCTACTTATCCATGTATATTCATTTCTGGCTCTTCTTATTTTCCTAAGTCATTTGGCTTCTATACTTTGTACATGTTGTACCGCACTTGACTGTGGCATCCCTACACCTACTGGTAAACAATGGCGTAACTCTGGTCTTCCCATTGTTTCTGTTGCCCTTGGTACAAACTTCTGGAACAAATAAACTGTACCATTATTGCATTTATTGATTTTCCTTCCACTTCTCTTCCTCACTGCACTCCATGCAGGAACTGTCTCATACCTGTGTAGTTCCCTCTTTTGATGTTTGGCTTCTCCTGACCTTCTCGTACTGCTTCTCTCTCCACTGTTATCTCTACTATGGATTCTAAACTTAGGCCCACGTGATCATTATCGCCCATGGGCCTTTCGTACATAATATTCCCAATGTCAGAACTGTGCAACGTGAATATGAGGCCCAGTATTGCCGGTTCACCCTCTCCTCTCCTCTCTCTCTCTCTCTCTCTCTCTCTCTCTCTCTCTCTCTCTCTCTCTCTCTCTCTCTCTGGTAGTGTCCTTAAAATGTTGGTACATGAAGTTTTCCAGAACTGCCTCCAGCATCTTAGCTATCCACATTCTTGGTCCGTCATGTGGCTCTACGTTTTCTAAGTCAGTCTCCTTGTAGTTGAAATCCCTTATAACAAGTAAATTTGCCCTGCCCATATGGGCCCTTTTGGCCACCTCAGCTAGTGTGTCCACCATCACTCTGTTGATCTCATCATACTCTTCAGAATAAAAAGATGAGGTAATATACCTCCTCCCATGGGAGACTTAAGTCTCGAGACACTCCCCAGATAGGGAGCCAAGGCCGGGTCACCACTACTTGGAAAAGACCCGGGCCGGGAGAATACCGGCGAATAAAAAAAAAATCATACTCTTGTATTGATCTCCTACTGTTCGGTGGTGGGTTGTGCATCACTGCTATCATCACCTTGGGACCCCCAGTCTAAAGTATTCCTATTATGTAGTGCCCTGCTTCCCTTCTGACCAGTCCTCCCATCTCAAAACCCCTCCTGTACCTCTATTCCCCCTGTCTTTCCTCAGGATCTGATATCCACTTGGGAACATCTTCTCTGTTATTCCCGTGAGCTTTCTCTGTGAGTGCTATAATGTTAGGGGATGCCTCCATGATTCGCTCTTGCCACTCCTCACTCTTAATTGTTATTCCATCTGTGTTGGTGTATCATACCTTCAGCTTCTTTTCAGTATTGTATTCTTGGGGTAGGAGGGGCTGGTAGAGGCTGGGGAGTGGTAGACAGACCTGAATATTATGGTAGGCTGTAGTGGTAGTAGTAGTGCAGGGAGGGAAGGATACTGTAGGTGTGGAGTGTGACTTATTTCTGGTTATTGTATTTGGTTGCTGTGAGGTGGTAGGGGTTGAAGAAATGCTGTGGGTGACTCTGTGGCAGTTGTGTTTGTTGTTTCCCCCAAGGATATGCTCTTCTGTCTGTCAGTACCTGTTCTGTCTCTCCTTCCTGGATCTAGCACCTACTTATTCTATCAGTTGTTCTCGTTCTTTTCGTGTTCTCTCGTGGTCGAGGTACACTCGCTGGTATATTGGGGAATTCTTTAGCAGTGGCTTCTGCTGCAGGAACTTCCCTCCAACCATTTCTGTCTTGAATATCAATCTGACTGGGCATTTTTTCCTTTGAATATTTCTCCAAGTGTCAGAAAATTTGTCATCTTCACGTGACTTTATTGTTGTGATGACATTCTCAATCTATTTTGCCTCCCTGTGTTGTGTGTGTGTGTGTGTACTCTCCTAGGTGAGGTTGCAGGGGTCGAGTCCAAGCTCTTAGCCCTGTGCGTGTGTGTGTGTACACTGTGTGCGTGTGACTCATCTGTGTCTTCAACTTCCAATTGTGACCCCTTGTTGCTGTGTCCCATCTCTGGAACATCCTGTCTCTGTCCACCTTATCAATTCCTCTCAGTATTTTATATGTCATTCATGTCCTCCCCACGCCCTCTCTCTCTCACTCTCTCTCTCTCTCTCTCTCTCCTGTCCTCCAGTGTCGTCAGGTGAATTTCCTTTAACCTCTCCTCGTACTATATACCCCTTAGCTCTGGGACTAGTCTCATTGCAAACCTTTGCTCTTTCTCCAATTTTTTGATGTGCTTGACCAGGTGTGGGTTCCAGACTGGTGCTGCATACTCCAGTATGGGCCTAACATACACTATATAGAGACCTGAACGATTTCTTATTGAGGTGTCGGAATGCTATTCTCAGGTTTGCCAGGCGCCCGTATGCTGCAGCAGTTATTTGGTTGATGTGCGCCTCAGGAGATGTGCTCGATATTATGCTCACCCTAAGATCCTTTTCCTTGAGTGAGGTTTGTAGTCTCTAGCCCCCTAGACTGTACTCTGCCTGCAGTCTTCTTTGCTCTTACCCAATCTTCATGATTTTGCACTTGGTGAGGTTGAACTCCAGGAGCCAGATGCTGGACCAGGCTTGCAGCCTGTTCAGATCCCTTTGTAGTTCTGCCTGATCCTCATCCGATTGAATTCTCCTCATTAACTTCACATCATCTGCAAACAGGGACACTTCTGAGTCTATCCTTTCCATCATGTCATACACATATACCAGAAACAGCACTGGTCCTAGGACTGCTCCTTGTGGAACCCCACTCGTCACAGGCGCCCACTCTGACACCTCACCACATACCATGACTCACTGATGTCCTCCTGTCAGATATTCTCTAATCCATTGCAGCGCCTTCCCTGTTATACCTGCCTGATCCTCCAGCTTTTGCACTAATCTCTTGTGTGGAACTGCGTCACACACCTTCTTACAGTCCAAGAAAACGCTGTCACCTTGCCATAGAACTCCAGTAGGTTTGTGGCCGAGGATTTCACTTCTCTGAAACCGTGCTGGCTGTCGTTGATAAGCTCACTCCTCTCCAGGTGTTCCACCATTCTTCTCCTGATAATCTTCTCCATGGCTTTACATGCTATCAGTGTCAGTGACACTGGTCTATAGTTTAGTGTTTCATGTCTGTCTCCTTTCTTACAAATTGGGACTACATTTCCTGTCATTTACTACTATTACTACTACTATCACTACTACTGATAAGGTGTGTGTTTGTGTGTGTGTGTGTGTACATGTGTGTAAAAAGCATACATGTGTGTGTGTGCACGTGTATGTGTACATGTGTGTAAAAAGCATCGACATCGTGCATAGGTGTGCATACACTTCCCTCTGCATCCAAAAACGTGTATAGACACGTGTACACATGAGTACAACGTGTGTACACGTGTGTACAACATGCATAGCTGCGTGTACACGTCCAGACTCACCCACATACGCCTCGAGCCATGTGTACTCGTGTGTACAACGTACATGTACACGTCCAGACTCACCCAGGTGTGTGTTGCCCAGTAGTTGTACGGTGTTACTGGTAGTCTTCTGACGTGGTGATACTGGCGTACTTGATTCACGTACGTCGTCTGTAAGGTCCATATTGCCTTCAGCAACCACTACTACCACTACTGTCACTACTACCACCATTACTACCACCATTACTATCACTACTACCACCACTACTACCACTACTACCACCACTACTATCACTACTATAACCACTACTGAGAAGGTTGTGGTGATGCAAGTGTACTTGATTCACGTACGTCGTCTGGAAGGTCTATATTGCCTTCATCAACCACTACTACCACTACTCCCACCACTACTCCCACCACTACTACCACCATTACTACAACTACTACCACGACGGCTGCCAGTAACATTGACAAATACAACTAACGGTGACAACCACCGACAGTGACAACCACTGACAGTGACAACCACTAACAGTGACAACCACTGACAGTGACAACCACCGACAGTGACAACCACTGACAGTGACAACCACTAACAGTGACAACCACTAACAGTGACAACCACCGACAGTGACAACCACTGACAGTGACAACCACTGACAGTGACAACCACTAACAGTGACAACCACCGACAGTGACAACCACTGACAGTGACAACCACTGACAGTGACAACCACTAACAGTGACAACCACTGACAGTGATAACCACTAACAGTGACAACCACCGACAGTGACAACCACTGACAGTGACAACCACTGACAGTAATAACTACCACTGACAGTGACAACCACTAACAGTGACAACCACTGACAGTGACAACCACTGACAGTAATAACTACCACTGACAGTGACAACCACTAACAGTGACAACCACTGACAGTGACAACCACTGACAGTAATAACTACCACTAACAGTGACAACCACTGACAGTAATAACTACCACTAACAGTGACAACCACTAACAGTGACAACCACTAACAGTGACAACCACTAACAGTGACAACCACTAACAGTGACAACCACTGACAGTAATAACTACCACTAACAGTGACAACCACTGACAGTGACAACCACTAACAGTGACAACCACTAACAGTGACAACCACTAACAGTGACAACCACTAACAGTGACAACCACTGACAGAAATAACTGCCACTAACAGTGACAACCACTGACAGTGACAACCACTAACAGTGACAACCACTAACAGTGACAACCACTAACAGTGACAACCACTAACAGTGACAACCACTAGCAGTGACAACCACTGACAGTAATAACTACCACTAACAGTGACAACCACTGACAGTGACAACCACTAACAGTGACAACCACTAACAGTGACAACCACTAACAGTGACAACCACTGACAGTAATAACTACCACTAACAGTGACAACCACTAACAGTGACAACCACTAACAGTGACAACCACTAACAGTGACAACCACTGACAGTGACAACCACTAACAGTGACAACCACTAACAGTGACAACCACTAACAGTGACAACCACTAACAGTGAGAACCACTGACAGTGACAATATCTGACAGTGACAACCACTAACAGTGACAACCACTAACAGTGACAACCACTAACAGTGACAACCACTAACAGTGACAACCACAGACAGTAATAACTACCACTAACAGTGACAACCACTAACAGTGACAACCACTAACAGTGACAACCACTGACAGTGACAACCACTGACAGTAATAACTACTAACAGTGACAACCACTGACAGTGACAACCACTAACAGTGACAACCACTATCAGTGACAACCACTAACAGTGACAACCACTAACAGTGACAAACACTAACAGTGACAACCACTGACAGTAATAACTACTAACAGTGACAACCACTAACAGTGACAACCACTAACAGTAACAACCACTAACAGTGACAACCACTGACAGTAATAACTACCACTAACAGTGACAACCACTAACAGTGACAACCACTAACAGTGACAACCACTGACAGTAATAACTACTAACAGTGACAACCACTAACAGTGACAACTACTAACAGTGACAACCACTAACAGTGACAACCACTAACAGTGACAACCACTAACAGTGACAACCTCTAACAGTGACAACCACTGACAGTAATAACTACCACTAACAGTGACAACCACTAACAGTGACAAATACTAACAGTGACAACCACTAACAGTGACAACCACTAACAGTGACAACCACTGACAGTAATAACTACTATCAGTGACAACCACTGACAGTGACAACCACTAACAGTGACAACCACTAACAGTGACAACCACTAACAGTGACAACCACTAACAGTGACAACCACTAACAGTGACAACCACTGACAGTGACAAACACTAACAGTGACAACCACTAACAGTGACAACCACTAACAGTGACAACCCACTAACAGTGACAACCACTAACAGTAATAACTACTAACAGTGACAAACCACTGACGGTGACAACCACTAACAGTGACAACCACTACAGTGACAAACCACTAACAGTGACAACCACTAACAGTACAACCACTAGTGGAGACAACCACTGACAGTAAACACTAACAGTGACAACCACTAACAGTGACAACCACTAACAGTGACAACCACTAACAGTGACAACCACTAACAGTGACAACCACTAACAGTGACAACCACTGACAGTAATAACTACTAACAGTGACAACCACTGACAGTGACAACCACTAACAGTGACAACCACTAACAGTGACAACCACTAACAGTGACAACCACTAACAGTAACAAACCACTAACAGTGACAACCACTGACAGTATACTACCACTAACAGTGACAACCACTAACAGTGACAACCACTAACAGTGACAACCACTGACAGTAATAACTACTAACAGTGACAACCACTAACAGTGACAACTACTACAGTGACAACCACTAACAGTTGACACCACTAACAGTGACAACCACTAACAGTGACAACCACTAACAGTGACAACCACTGACAGTAATAACTACCACTAACAGTGACAACCACTAACAGTGACAACCACTAACAGTGACAACCACTAACAGTGACAACCACTAACAGTGACAACCACTGACAGTAATAACTACTATCAGTGACAACCACTGACAGTGACAACCACTAACAGTGACAACCACTAACAGTGACAACCACTAACAGTGACAACCACTAACAGTGACAACCACTAACAGTGACAACCACTGACAGTGACAAACCACTAACAGTGACAACCACTAACAGTGACAACCACTAACAGTGACAACCACTAACAGTGACAACCACTGACAGTAATAACTACTAACAGTGACAACCACTGACGGTGACAACCACTAACAGTGACAACCACTAACAGTGACAACCACTAACAGTGACAACCACTAACAGTGACAACCACTAGTGGTGACAACCACTGACAGTAATAACTACTAACAGTGACAACCACTAACAGTGACAACCACTAACAGTGACAACCACTAACAGTGACAACCACTAACAGTGACAACCACTAACAGTGACAACCACTGACAGTAATAACTACCACTAACAGTGACAACCACTGACAGTGACAACCACTAACAGTGACAACCACTAACAGTGACAACCACTAACAGTGACAACCACTAACAGTGACAACCACTGACAGTGACAACCACTAACAGTGACAACCACTAACAGTGACAACCACTAACAGTAACAACCACTAACAGTAACAACCACTAACAGTAACAACCACTAACAGTAACTACCACTAACAGTAACAACGACCACTAACAGTAACAACTGCCACTAACAGTAAACACTACTAATAACATTAACAATCACTAACAGTAACAACCACTAACAGTAACAACCACTAACAGTAACAACCACTAACAGTAACAACCACTAACAGTAACACCACTAACAGTAACTACCACTAACAGTAACAACCACTAACAGTAACAACCACTAACAGTAACAGCCGCTAACAGTAACAACCACTAACAGTAACAACCACTAACAGTAACAACCACTAACAGTAACAGCCACTAACAGTAACAACCACTAACAGTAACAACCACTAACAGTAACAGCCACTAACAGTAACTACCACTAACAGTAACAACCACTAACAGTAACAACCACTAACAGTAACTTCCGCTAAGCCACTAACAGTAACAACCACTAACAGTAACAACCACTAACAGTAACAACCACTAACAGTAACAACCACTAACAGTAAACAACCACTAACAGTAACAACCACTAACAGTAACAAACCACTAACAGTAACAACCCTAACAGTAATACCACTAACAGTAAAACAACCAATAACAGTAACAAACCTATCATAACAGTAAATACCACTAACAGTAACAAACAATAACAGTAACAACAGCCACTAACAGTAACAACGACCATTAACAGTAACAACATAACCAATTAAACCAGTACATTAACCACTAACAGCAACAACCACTAACAGTAACAACCACTAACACCAACAAACCACTAACAGCAACAACCACAACAGTAACAACCACTAACAGTAAATAACCATTAACAGTAACTACCACTAAACAGTAACAATCACTAACAGCAACAACACACTAACAGTAACAACCCTAACAGTAACAGCCACTAACAGTAACAACCACTAACAGTAACAACCACTAACATAATCTACCACTAACAGTAACAACCACTAACAGTAACAACCATTAACAGAATTAACCACTAACAGTAACAACCACTAACAGTAACAACAACTAACAGTAACAACCACTAACAGTAATTTACCACTAACAGAAACAACTACTGAAAGTAACAACCACTAACAGTAACTACCACTAACAGTAACTACCACTAACAGTAACTGCCACTAACAGTAACAACCACATAACAGTAACAACCACTAACAGTAACAACCACTAACAGTAACAAACCAATAACAGTAACAACCACTAACAGTAATTAACCACTAACAGAACAACAACTAACTGAAAGTAAACAACCAATAACAGTAACTACCACAACAGTAAACGCCACTAACAGTAACAACCACATAACGGTAACAACCACTAAGAGTAACTACACTAACAGTAACTACCATTAAACAGTAAAA